TGGGTTTTAAGAGGAAATGTATAAAACTGAAAAGTAGTTATTTTTTCAAGAAGGAAATGTTCTTGAAGGTCACCTAAGGGTAGTTTTTCAAGAATGACATATTCTTTTTCGATATTTTTTTGGATTTAAGTTTTAAAAGATTTTAGTTGCAGTGTAGGAGTCTGGCTCGAAGAAACTAAGCAATCTATGGAACGCCAGGCCACAAGGGCGACACCCACAACACAGAGAATGTGAAAGGGGGGCGGAGATGGGAGGCTGCAGGAAAATTACGTAGACAGAAAGCCCCGCATATAAATGGTCGACATGCATTGGAGACAAAGAAAAAAAAAGAAAGAAAGAAAAAGTGAGGAGAAATGTTAGGATGGTCGCCTCATTGGGCAAGCATTTAATTTGTATTTTATGCGATTTATGTTTACTTTAGTTGGCACTCATTTTGCATTTTTATTAGCGCACATAAAAATTGCACACAGACGATGACGTTCACAGGGTGCAACAAATGTTGCAATTAAGCCGCACAAAGGTCGCCCACAAAATGTTTGTCATTTTGCGGAGCCACTTTAATGGGTTTTCTCTTTTAGTTTCGCAAAGCACGAAAACTATTTGAACAATCATAATGCTGGGTTATTAAATTTGCATAGCTAGTTTTGGGGCTAGTTGAAAACGAATAAAATTACTGGGTATTTTACCCCTTACATTTTCTTTAATAATTAAAAAGTGTGTACTTTACTTCAGTTCTTTTGAGTTGTAAATACTTAGTTAATGGCATGGTAGTAATACTTCTTGGTTAATATTTGTTGACGAACTCTGTTACTTTTTCTTTCATTCTATCCGAGAAAGCTGTTCAAAGGCAACCAGATATAATCCCACTGTTGCCACGATGACCAATTAAGTTTGTAAAGTTTTCTGAAAACTCTGCGTAATCATGATAAATTTTCCATACAATTTTTAAGTGGCTAAGAGAAGGGCGGTGTTGCATTGATCAGCTGCTGTCTGAGGAGCCCAAGAAATTTCAGCTATCAGTTTTCCGTTTTCCATTCTGCCCACTAAGGCCAAAGGCACTCATAGTTTACGAGAACCGCCAAACCGAATTCTGCCCACTTTTCCACGCCCATTTTCCCCGGGCAGAAAAGCCATTAGCAGGCGGGCGGACGTTTTGTATTTAAGTGGAGCAAACGGCAAAAGGCAAAACCGACGAAGCTGTTGAAAAAAATGTATCTAAAATAAAAATAAATTGTTAAAAAACTTTGGGGGCAGAGAGCCCGCGAAAGGAAATATAAACAAGCTGACTCAGGACATTCAATGTCCTCTGTAGAATACAGTTATTAAAATTTTTAGGAGCCAAAGACGATGATGATGGCATTCATCAGGCCGGCATATTGATAGGCACAAGTTTCTGGAAGGACGAGATACAAATGTTTGGCCTCTCGACGAGCTGACGAGCAATTACCTCCCAATCGCCCAGCATCTTGGCCCTTTCCCTTGACCTTTTTGGCTGACTTAAATCCACTTTACGCTTTTTCTCAGCTATTAATTGGTGCACTCGAAGAAAATATATGTAAAAGCGTTCTGAATTAGAAAAATGAATTAAAACATATATTATTCTACCATTTTACAAAACTTCTTGGAGAACTTGTGATGTATCCTATTTCTTTTCCGTGTACCACCACACAACACCCAAACCTCCGGAAATATGCTACTCAAATATTATTTGTTTAGGCAAGCAATTAAAAGTGGATGGCCACAATATGAGTTGCTGAAGTGCCCGACGGCAATGATTGTTAAAATGTTGGCAAATTGGATTTTTGCCAGCCAGCGGCGGCAGGGAAATCTGGTGAGTTCTGGCCAGGTCAGTTGGTCACTTGGTGGCTCTGGCTCTCTGATAATGGGGCTCTCGTCCAGCAAAATAGGCGTAAAATGAAACTTTTAAGTACTTTATGGCCAGCACTATGAAAAAAAAAAGTAAAAACAACAGCAGCAACGGCAACCAAACACATCTGCCATGTGGCGCTACCACCAACTTTTCCCACCCAACCACCCACGCCTGCAACCAAAAACAACGTTGGGGGAGTTGAGGGGCGAGTGACGGGGGGTGCAGCTGAGATATGCTGTGGCCATGGCAAAACTTTCCCTAAAAACAGAAACGATGAAGCAACTTTCGGTCATATTCTAAATATCACACCGGTTGTAAAATGATTATAAAACATAATGGTGGGGCAGCTACTATCCTGCTTCGAGGGGCTGGCCAACTCAAATATCTGATGCAGAGTTTTATTCAGCTTGGGGGATTGTGATAGGTACCACAGCGATGACAGGATAGTAAAATTCGCTAACGTCTAGCGATAAAACATCCACATAAAGTATAGATATAACGATTAAGTTAAGACAGTCTGTGGAAAATTTAAACATCACACCTCTAATGTTGAAAACAAAATTGTTTAGTAAAAAAATAAGTTAAAATGTGTACTTTCCTAGTTCCTAAAACACAATTCAAATTTTTCTCTCAATTTAGGACACTTAGTATGTCAACGCAGAAGCATAAAGTTTTTCCCCAGAAAAAAAACGCAAAGTATGCGAAAAAAAACTATAAAATTTCGATAGAATTTCATTATTATTTCCGGACTTTCCTCGACCAACTCTGGTATTTAGTGGTCCGAAAGTATGCTGCAGTTTTCTGGGTGTGGCCATGTGTGGGTGGCAAATGGCTGACATTTCGGGCACGTGCGTGTGAAAAGGTCGACGAAAAATGCTTTGCATAGTTCGGGGCGCGTGCCGGGATCAAAGACAGTCTCCGCTGACGATAAAATGACAGAGCAAAAAACAGGCCAAAACACAACAGCAGTGGCAGCAACAAACAAAAGCGTGAATCAGGCGTCAGCAGTTGACAATTGAAGTTTTTGTTTGGCACTCGCATTACGAGGCAGCAGGCCATCGGGGCGTATGCGCAATGCGAGACCCGCCAGCAGTCGCCGTTCGAAGCTGATTGACAGGGGAAAGGTCAGGCATCGCAAGCAATAAAAATCGCATTCATTCCAAGACCAACAGCAGCAGCATCCATAAAGAAAACTCTAGGAAAAATCATCACGATTTTCCATAAATCTTTAACGACCTTGCAATGCACTGAATAAAGATGGAAAAATAAATATGAAATTAGGAAAATATATAACTTATAGAAGAGAAAAAATGTATTCAGGGACATCTTTTATTTTCGGTTTAATTATATTTTATCTGTTACATTTTAGAAGAAAACTAGGAACCAGTTGTACTTCAAACCAGCAAAAATAATCGTCCACTCACCAGTTCGCAAAACTTTTCTTGATTTTCCCCCTATGCACATAAACCGAAAACCTCAAAACCATCTTTATTTACAATCCACGAGTTTAACTGCCATAAAACTAATTCCCTTTATCGATTTGCAATGCAAAACATTCGACGACCATTTGGCTAGTTCTAAATTGCCCCGCAAGAGTATTTAAACTTTTGTTGTCCCCCGGAAAAATCTCTGAATATACATTCAGATATGTATGTGCGGATTGAAATGTATTTGAAAATGGCAATTTACGCACTGTTAGGGACAGTTTGAAAAAAGATTCAGCTGCAGGCGAGGCACCCAGCGTGTCCGCTTCTCGGCCGAAATGTTTGCCATGGCCATCGGATGTCGGCTGTCCATACATATGTATATGGCAGGACATTGGGAGACAAAAAAGGAGGAGGATTCATAGAATGATATAGAAAGGATGTGGGGCGAAGGACCTAGCCCAACCCAACCCTTCGGGCACATTGATGCGCATACATATCTCTTACTGATTGCCGATTTGATTACGTCAGTGGTCCGAGCCCAAAAGTCCGTGTCCCCTGGCGTGTTAAAGTCCTGCAGCTCCGCACCAAATTATGCCAAGTATTTGCTTATTAGTTTTTTTCCTCTGCCCCAAATAAATTGACATTTGCTATTAGAAAAAGGTTTGGCCTGAAAGTGCAAAAATGCGAAAAACTCTGGCAATGTCTTTGGCCAGGGGGATATATCCGCACACATATATATTGGATATGATATGGTTTCCTAGACCATTGCCATCGAACGTTTCGGCATCTACAGATCGTCTACGAGTACGTCGAGGAAATTTCACATTTGTGAGTTGTGCGATGGCTTGTGGGAGGGTCACTCACAGCTTTGGGCAAATGGCAGCTCAATGAAAAATAGGGAATGTTTTTGGGTTGAGATTGTGAGATATACCTCAATGTTGGCCACTTCATAAAAATTGCAAATTTGGATCAGGGATAAAATAGGTTTTTGTAAATTACGTACTTACCAACAGTGAATTTTTCGAAATATGCTCATTTATAAACTAATAAAACCAGATTTGGTTTTTTCTACCTTTTGGAAATTCAAAATTTTACAATTTATTATTAGTATTAATATCTTTTAACTTGCTCTAGTAATACACTATTTACAGTAGTTATCATCTAATAAAGAAATTTTTATTTTCCTGTTAAAATTCTTACTTAATTCACCGTAAACCTACCGAACCGTATTGATACCAGCAAAATGTACAATCACCTTGAGCCGCACCCTGGCCTAAATGTACCCTCTTCGGTGACAATTCAATTGGATCCTGGGAAATAGTAGCAACATCTTGATAAATACTGACTGAAAGAACAGCCAGAGTCGAAGAAGTATGCGCCTTGCCAAATCCCTAAAATGCCGCTCAATGAGCAGCTCAACGTGAAATAATCTTAGGGCAGTAAGTACTTCCAAAGAACTCACCCATTGCCACCGGAAAATCTTCCGCTATGCTCAAGAAACCTCTACACTGGAAAAATCAAAACGTAATTTGTGTTAATTAGTATAAAAACTAAACTACTTTAAATATTTTTGATACTTGCTTAATACATAGTCAAAATAAAATAACTCTTATTTACAATAAAGATGATTCGGACTTTTTGTAAATAATTATACTTACTTATTTATACAAATTCAATTTATACAAATTCAATTATACAAATATATCCTACAGGACTCACAGGACAAAGAACGTGACTGCCTTGAGACCGTGGAACTGCAGATTGGACTTAGGGACTACGATCCTGAGAAATGCAAACGCTTTCATGGAAGTGTACTCTTACATCACCTGGCAGTTCCTCAGTTAAAGGTGTGTGTAATTGGAGATCTACAGCATTGTTATGAGGCAAAGGCCATTGGAGTTGATTGCTTGGATGTGGATGCCCTCAAGAAGCTGAACAAGGATCAAAAGTTGGTAAGGAAGTTGGCCAAATCGTACGATACCTTCTTGGCCTCCGAGCCAATAATCAAGCTGATCCCAAAGCTACTGGGTCCAGGTCTTACCAACGAGGGCAAGTTTCTCACTCCGCTGACGCACAAGGAGTCGATGAGATCCAAAATCAAGATACTTTCCACCAAGAAGCTACTCATGAAGAAGATGGCCTGTCTATCCGTTAATGTTGGGCATGTCGGCATGCACCCAGAGGAACTGACCCAAAACATAAGCATTTCCATCAACTTTCTCGTTTCCCTGCTGAAGGGGAATTGGCAGAATGTCCGCTCACTTCATATTAAATCATCCTTGGGTGTACCTCATCGTCTTTATTAGATGCCTTTTTAAAGAAAGCAATATGTGTAAAATAGTCAAACAATTATAAGTGTGAAATAAAATTGCTGTCTTTGAAATCTTTAAGATTTTGCTTTGATGTGGAATACCAATACAATTAATTCCATATTTTGTAACCATCTTGTTCTGTTATTATCTTCTCATTTTCCTCATCATTTTCCTCTTTTATTCCCACTCAATAGAATCTCAGTAAGCTGTGACATAATTTCGCTTGCCTCACATCCCACTCTTTATTTGGCTTATGAGCAATCCCCTTTGTTGGCTCAGCGATATATTACAAATTTCGTCTAGAATTTTTCCAGGGATGGGTGGAGATTGGCCTAAGCCCCACCGGGAAGATAAGACAAGTTCACGGCACATGCTGAGCAGGCTAATCAGGAAGGCATTTTTATTGGGGATCCAGCTAAGAGGCAACAAATGTGCTGCGCTTGACTTATCCGCAATAATTATGGCTTTTTGCTGCTGCGCCGATAAGAAGGTTGAAATAATTATAGCCTGGGTGAAAACTTTGAGCCGGATGGAAAAGCCGCCGCCAGAAAGGCGCCTCTTGTTAACACAAAATCGTTGTTGCTTTAAATTTTAAAGAAACAAAATGTAATGAAGAAAATATTTATAGAAAGATCTATTTAAAAATATTAAAAAAATTAATATTCATATGAAAATCACTATCTATATTTATAGAGACCCACACAAATTGATTATTTATTTCGGTGGGAAATATCTTTTATTTGCTACTCCAAACACATTTTTAAAATATCTCATAAAATTAACTTTTCGAATACAAGCAGGGAAGAAAAATGCATCTTCTTGAAAAAGAACTTGCTAATTTCTTATTCAAATTAAATATGAGAGGCTACGTCAGTCCTGGGACTCTTGGAAAACATATCGGAAAACTCAATTACGAATTCATTTCGCTTGTCGACTTTGACAGTCAGCCAGACGAAGTCGGAGAAACAGATATGTACGCACAGATAGCGGATGGCAAACTCACTGTTACTAATTTGAGCTTGTAAACATATTTTAACAAAGATGTCAACAACGTGTGATGCACACACCCACCGACTACCGCCCACCAAAACGACGACTGAACTGATGAGGGCACAACAATTCCATCTGGCCAAGTGATATATGTCTTTCATATAGGAATACCATAAACAATGTCATTTGACATGCAAATTTATTTATGAAAATAACAGACGAAGGAAATACAGAAATACAGAAACAAAGCGCTGCGAGGAAAGAAAAAATCACGCACACACGCTCGCTGGAAAATGAGCTGCTGAGCTAAGGAAAAACCAGGCGACAGCGAGCGGGAAAACCCAGAAAGTGGCAAAAGGCAACCGACACAGGACTCAGCTGAAGCTCAAGGAAAAACCAAAAGGCCAAGGAAGCGGCAAGAAAAGGAAATTCAAGCGTAAAGCAAAAGTAACTTAAGCAGCGGCAAACTGGGCAAATAAAGTGGGCTAACATTGGTTGGGAAGGGGGAAGGTCGTTGGGTGGGTTGGGGGTCAGTGGGTGGTTGAACCCGGACAACAAAGTGAAAGTTAAAGCCCTCACACACACGCACATGCTGAAAAATTCAACAGAACGTGGCATGGCAGATAATTTTTTCTGTATCGCTCCCCATCTCAATCTCTTCTCTATTGTTTACCCGCACTGTCTTAATATTCTTGGTTGAGGATAGTGCAATTTCTTTAGTGAACCATATAAGCAATTCAATTTAACTCTCTCTATTAGTCACTACATTTTCAGAAAACCGAATCCATTAGGGAATACCTTTAATTATTTCAATAAGATGATATTTTCATAACACCTTAAGCAGATTCAATAACCCTATTGTATAATTCCATAAACCATTTTGCTAATTTTCTATTTATCAAATCAAATTACTAAATGTCTCTTATATTTTATAAATATATCTTATAATATTTATAATATTCAATATTTCAAGGGTATCTGATATTCGCATAATCTCCATCAACAAAGCTTTATCTCCTTTTGTTTCCCGTTGGCATAGGGCAAGCAATGGGGGGTCGGGTATACGGAAGGGTCAGGGTCCAAACTCTCCAGTTGACCCAACTCCGATATCTTTATGCTTGATGCAGACAGCCAGGCGAAACAATATGTGTACGCCCAATATTTTGATAAGTGTAAGCAAAAATAAACAGAGGAGACGCTTCAGGAAAAAATACAGCAGACCCAGAAAAACCCAAAACTTGGGCGAAAACAAATCGAAAGTCGAGCGAAAGAAAATAGGGAAACTGATTTTCCCCCCTTTCTCGATATCACTTTGGGGAATCCTGGGACATTGACCATTGTTGGGGAAAGTTCCAGACCATCTACCATTTTTTTTGTTTTCTCTATGCGTCATTTTGCAAGTGTGCGGAAGTCCCAAGGTAAAGAATATGGCTTTTTGAGTGAACTACTTTCGTTTTTATTTGCCAACTTCATATAAGTGGATGGTGAGTATGGAAAATAAACTGAAAATGTAATACCCATTTCCTAATTTATCTGTCCATCTTTTAGTGGTCAGCACAAATATTTTCCCCTCAATTATTCGCAGTCATTCAGAAAATCCCAATTGATATTCCAAGTCCGATTTGTTTGGGTTGCAGTTTAAGCCCCTTTTTTTTGGCGAAAGCTTCCTCATCATGGTTGACAAACAAAATGTAATTAGGCATTTACTGTATTTGTTTCAATCTGCGACGCATAATATTATTATGCCAAGCGGCACTCAAGGCCGCCGAATGCTCTTGGCCTGGCCAATAACCAAAGCTAATTTATTTAAGACGCCAGCGAAATGACCCCGGTATTTGTTTTTGGCCTGGTGGCGGAGGGCTAACTTGCGTCCTAAATTATGACTGGATCGCATGTGAATAGGGCTATTACATATATCACGTGATTGTGAAATTAAATTGAGCGGCTTGAAATGTAAATTTGAATGCAATCAAAAAGCGTTTCAGCGAATTAACTGGCATGGGGAACAAAAATACACAGAATACATCCTTTGCATTTACACATCAATTATTCCACAGACCAATTTGTTTTATCCTATTCACATTATACAGCAAATTCTTCAAATACCAAATAGACTGGTTAGTCAAAATCAAAATACATACATTCTTTAAATTACAAGAGGGCTTGTACTTGAATGGAAAATAAAGGATATTATAAAGAGGCATATGGGGTTGAATTTCCTAATGGTTAAAAGGGGGAAAATTGATGAATATATTTAATTTAATATATTTATTTATTCCTCATATTTTTCAACATGAAAATTAAATTGGGTTATGGAAAATGAACTAATGAAATAATTTCATTTAAACCTGCTCATTTAATATAATAAAGTTGAAATGAAGTAATTGGTATTTAAACAATAATAATGTATCAAATTAATTGCTGTTGATTAATTTACTGATACTAATTTTTAAAATATATGTATACATTAAATTGCTTGTTTAATCCCCTATTTTGCTTTTCAGAAATATAAAACACCCTTAGTAACCGTTCTTGCATCCACTTAGCCAGATTTTAAAGGCATACGCGTAATATTTGCATAAAAATATCACCAACGAGAATGCTTATGTCTCAGTTGAATGGTGATTGTGATTTCTGCTTCTCAATTTGAGATTTCCCTTTCCCTTTCTAATACACATATCATCCCTCACACAAGCAAACCCAAACCAAGGGATTTCGTGGCTCAAGAGCTCGGGACCAAAGACTTGTTGATAGGGGTTGACCAAAGCGACCATCTACCCGCTTTTCCCCTTCGCCCTTTAACGCCAGACAACCGAAATCGATTCAGATTTAAATGTATATTTTCCATAGATAAGCCAGCAAAATTCCAGCAGCTTGTTCAGCTTCATAGCACACATGGCAAATTATATATAATGCACTTAAGTGGTCGAATATATATCAAAATTCTGTGAATCTGATGGATGTTCGTCAATAAGGGGAGCGTCTGCAAGTGATTTCCCTCCATTCGAATTCGGCAATAGCGCAATCAGCCATTCGCCAATCCCGAAACTTATGAACATAGTTTTCCAAATCGAAAAACTTGGGAAAAGAGGGGGGTACTTGGTAAGAAAATAAAATTGGATTGCCAATGATAGAAAATATTTTATTAGCGTTATGAAATTACTAAAATTGTCTACCATTTAACTTGGGAATTTATCGATTTATTACCGGCTTATCTTGTGTCCGTTTTCTAAATTTTCTCAGTGTAGGGGTCTACAAATTGTGCGGCATAAATTGCGGCCCCATTGTTTGAAGTGGCTAAAGAGTCAAACGGCCAGTTGAGAATGGTGGCCAATGGCAACGAAATTCATGGGCCGCAAACTGTATTTCCGCAGCGCCAAATGGCTCCATCAACGAATCGCACTGCCCCAATGGATGCATCAACATTTGCTCTTTGAATATTTAACATTATGTCGCAAGAGCTCATAAATGTTGCACCTCCATTCCCCCATTTCTCCATCTATCTTTGGGTCATCATTGTCTCTGTCCCGAAAATAAAGCCATATATACTGGTAGTAACTGCTGCTGCTGACAATGATGGAACACTGTTTGATGTTTGATTGGTTTGCCGTTCCGATGGCGACATTGATATGAGTTTCTTTCGGGTGGAAATCTGTGGTTGGGGTCTGCTTTGGGTGTTGGCAAAAAAGGGGCGGAATACAAATGATAAATATAAATAGAAGACAAACTTTGCTTCTGATTGTGGCAGTCTGATATGTAGTTAATGATTGAATGCCAGTTTCCGGGAATTATGGGGACAGTGTTGAATACGAAAATAGAAGAGCATATTAAATTTTTATTGGATACTTACTGCGTCATTTGTGTGGGTGTAGTACCTCCTATTTATTAAATCCTAATTATTTTGGGGTTGACTTCAAAAAATATTGATTCAATTCACAAAACAACTAAATGTTTATTAAGTAGGTAAAATTAAATAGATTAAAGTATTATTAAGTACTAGTTGGGATCTAAAATTTATTGGTTTGCAACAGTTTAG